AAAAAAAAAACACATTTTACTGATGGACAATTTTTTCGTCCTGTACGGGTATTTTTCGAAGAAGTGAAACTGTGTAAAAACTGCTGTGTGGAAAATGCGTTATAGAAGTTATGTGGCTTAATATTACAGAGAATTAAAAGTAGCTGATTGGCGTAACTGAATTCGAATTTTTGAAAACAATTTGCAATGCAAAAAAGTGAAGTTTGACAAAAGAAATGTTCTGGCATGAACAAGTAAAATTAATTACATTTGAAGTGCAAACCAGAGTTTGAAATTTTGCTCAAAATTATTGGCAAACGGAAAACAAATAAAATAATTACACACATTATTTGCTGCAGAGTACATTTATGGAAAGAAGCGTGCGAAATTTACTGAACATTACTTTACGTATAAAATTATGAAATGTTTTCAAAATAAAAGTAGGTAAACATAAAATTCGTGTGTGAACTGTAGTGAAATCGTAACTTTTAAAGGTTGAAATTGGCAGACGGTGTAGGTATGAATACATATAAAAATAGAAACACAAAATAAAGATGTGAGCTTATATAATTGAAAAAGCGTCTCTTAAAATTAAACCAACAAAAGTGTGACGAAAAAAAAAACACAAAAAAAAATTATTAAAATATAAAAATTTTAATTTTGTTGCAAGAAAAAAATTTAAACTGTTTTTCTGAACTGAAAACATTTTTTTTTTTTACAAAAAAAATATTTATTTCTACATTTACACATTGACAAATTGAGAAAAAATAAGCATAATTTTTAGTGTCAGATCTCTTAAAAATCGTAAAACCTTTTCACTAACTCTATCACGGAAAACCATTTGAAAGAGTGATGACAGAACGAACGAAAATTAACGAAAATTTTCACAGCTAACTTGCTGTCTCCACAGGCAAAAGTTTTTATCTTGATAATGTTATCAGGCAAAATTTTGCCCATGGAGACGGCATATTGCTCTTGGCAAGCAATAATTATCAGAGCTTTTATCTTGATAAATATTGCCAGCAATTTGGTACTTTGACAGCTACATTTTCATTTGTGCGATAGCTTCGTGGAGACAACATTATCGACATTTCAATATAAAAGCAAAAATTGAACTGTTTTCTATTAAAATATGTGTTATTATTTGCTTGGGTGTGAAATAGCATATTTTTTAAACTTTTTAATTGATGAAATCCGGCAAAAATTGCCATCTTATAAATGCTTTTATCAAGATAAAAAATGCCCACGCACAAATATTGCCGCTGATAAAATTTTTATCAGGCAATAAAAATGACAGTTGGCCGTGACGGGCCGTAAGGGATGAGAATTGGCAAATATTCTTCATTACCTCTGGACTTTAAGGTCAATCTCTGGCATCGCTCTATGTATGATCGTTTTCAGCCAGCCTTAAGACTTTCGTTAACATGCGAAAAATCTTTGAACCAAGCAAGCTTTCTTCCAAACAATCTTAACTCGGGCAATTGCGATGTTTTGCTGTGGTGTAGACTTACATCAAAAATATTTTTTTCACACCACCAGAGCGACATAAATTGATCTTGAAAAGTCCATATCTTAGTCCGGAATATAATTTTCTGAAAGCAATTTTCTCTGACAGAGCCAAGAGATAATTTCTTATTATGCTGGAAACAAATTTGAATACCGAAATGGTAGAAATGCCAACTAAATGTATAAGTTATATTTCTCGAAATCGCATACCTAAATCCTCTTCATGCCCCAATAAAAATATGCTTGTAGTTTTAATAAAGTAATAAAGAAGTATTGCAGTAAATATAACCTCCCGATTTAAGCGGTTTTTCCTATTCCAAAGTAAACAAACTTAGCTTAAATATATTTTGAACAACTGTCAAGCATTCTGAAGTAATAGTAAGTATATAGAGGGCTCTAAAATCTCGTAAAGCATTGACGCAGGTGGATATGGCACCAGGATAAGAGCGCTGGAGAGCGATAATAGCAGAGAATAATAATTATTGCATGGTGGAGTTTTAAAAAAGTCATCAAAATTTTCGTAAGAATTATAAAAGTTTTTGATAATAATTATGTGTGAGAACCATTTTTGAAGTCATCGATAACTATTATTTTAAAACTTATATAATAGAAGTCTTTTCATAATAATTATCAGCGAGATAAATTTTTTTAAGTCTTCAAAGACTTTTATTTTGAGACTTATATTAATCAAAGTCTTTTGATAATAGTTATGAGTTCGAAAAAATTTCGTATTTAGTCCCGAACGGCTCCCAAACTAAGCCCCAACTGGGCATAAGCTACCCCCCAACTAGTCCCGAACTGGTCCCTACCTTGCCCCGAACTTGTCCGCAACTATTCCTGAAATGCTCCTGAACTAAGTCTCGTCTTTTAAGACTTAAAAACATTTTTCGCGCTCATAATTATTATCAAAAGACTTTTATAATCTTAAAATAAAAGTCTTTGAAGACTTAAAAATATTTATTTATTATGAAAGGACTTTTATAAAATAAGTCCTTGAATAATAATTATAGATGACTCGAAAAATATTTATCTTAGTATAACGGTTATCGATTGACTTTTATTCTTTTCTCTCTAAAATTTTAGTGAGCGGTTAAACCTAATTAGTTACAGATAGGCTTCTAAGTAATTGCATTGACCAAAAACTCAGGACTAGCACAGGATTTATTGTAGGGCGCTGCAGATTAATAAGACATTTGCATACATTATAAAACCAGTCACCGGAATTTTGTCACATTTTCGACTCAGTTAAAGAGAAGTCATTGCACGTATTTCTTGAGCGTGATTATGTTTCAAGAAAGCGAGAAAAAGTCTAAGCTCAATGTGGTTAAAGACTGGGCATTTCTTTTTCTATAGTTTTTCCAATCAGACAAAAAGTAAAGAAACTACAAAACGAAATTCAAAAACCAAGTTGTTGTTAAAGGATTTTTATTATATGTTTTTCTTTTTTTTTGATTTATTTGTTTTTGTGAAACGCCTTTTTGTTTTTTCTGAAACCAAAATTTAAGAAAAATTAAATATATGAACAACAAATATTTAAACTGCTTTGTTAAAAATACTTTAGGACTTCTTAACCAGGCACCGAAAATAGCAGTTAAATATTAAAACTTTTATTTTTAGATGATATCGTCCCCTCAATATAACAATAGCGTATGTGCTCATATCATACGCCATTATTTTTTTATTGCATATTTAGAATCTCCATCATTGATTCTATGTCTGGTCAAAATTTCGTCAAATTCTACTTCCACAAAGTGGGTCAAAATGTCATTGGAAAAAATGGTGTATAATTTCTTGTTCAAAAATTTCCTTCAAACAAAAAAAAAACAAAAACTTTAAACTCGATTTTCTCAAAACCCAAAAAAAATTATACGCTATTGTTATATTGAGGGGACGATATAAAAATCGTAATTTTTTTATTTTAATTTTACTTATCAAGACCAATCGTTAAATTTGTGTTTTCAGTTTTGCGGTAAAGTTTCATTTTTTTATTTGTATATTGTTAATTTTGCTATGTACAATTTATGTAGTCTGTGATCGAAAATATTAAATCTTAAAATAACGGCGTTTCTTGATAAAAAAATATAATCATAAAATAACAATAAATTTGATTCTTATCACAAAGATCATAACCCTTACTCTGTCAACCGAATTCTTATCTTTTTTTGTTTCATATATATCATTAGTTTACTTGAAAAAATAAAAATATTTTTGCAAAAAAAAAGATTGTCGAAAGGGGAAAAATAAAAACAAATCATCACAACTTAGGCAAATTAAGCAGACACTTAGCCGATAATTTTTTTTTTTAGTTACCGTTTTTAGTTTTTTTTTCTATGAAATTTTCTTATATGATATTTCTGTTGAATAAAAAAATTTCAAAACATATAAAATAATAAACAGAATCCCACTATAAATAAATTTAAATTTTTATTTTCAATTTTTATAACCAAAAACATTTAAAATCTTCGGTAAAACTATTACTTTTTAACCGAATTTTTATCTTTCTATACCTTTGATCAAATCTGGTCGCAGTGCAATGGGTCAGGTGTTCAGGCGCTTACATAACCATAACCATATCCTTCCATTTTGTTTTTAATATTTTTATTTAGTACATATACGTGAAAAAATATTTATGTTTGCAAACAAAAAAAATTTAATTTAATTTAATTTAAAAAAGGGGAGATAAATAAAATATAAACGTCATTGATCCTAAATTAAGCCTCTTAACCGAACCATTTTTTATTCTACTTTTTCGAAGTTTTTCGTTCTATACATTTTTTTGTTCAATAAAATAAATTTAAGAAATAAAAAAAAATATTTATATGGCTACAACACATAAACAATTATCCCCCAAATGAAATGACAAAATTCCATGCGCGATTTAAAAAAAAAAAAGTGCACTTAAAATATCAGAAATTATTAAGGAAGCTGAAAAATATATATCGCTTGCTTAGAGTGCTAAGTCCAATTTTACAAATCTCACAGGAGTGAATAAAAACCATGCAAGCTCATTTCCGTCAAGCCCTAGTCTGGTAAAATTTGAATACAAGTTTTCGCATACCCTAAGCTGAAACAACTCCAAACGAATCGAATTCCACCATGAAATAAAATAGGTGGTTTGGTCTTTTATAAAACAATGAATTTTTAATTGATTTCGCTTCTTGCATTAATATACAGTTTTTTTTTTTAGAAAAATCGGACTTAACAACCTTTCGCTCTAAGCTAGCGACATGACAAATTTTCCTAATCTTTTTTGAATATTTTCCAATGAAAATTTTAATTTTTTTTTGCAGATTAACAACTATTACCAGTGAAGCTTTTGACCAAAGCAATCTTCATAGATTAGCTGCAAAATCGGTGCAGTGTGAAAATTTAAAAAATACACTTACTACCACTAAAAGTGAACAGAAAACTATTTTTTTTTTTGAGTGCCACCAAAATTGTGTTCAAACTTTCTATAAAAATAATACAATAAACAAAGCAAGTAAAAACCCAGTGACACAAACGCACCGTGCCGTTGCATAGTGTACGCCAAGCTGCGCTTGCAACAGCCAAACGGCAGCTGGTGATGAAATACTAAACCCCGACATTCACAGTAATGCCAAGTGAGAAGGGCAAAAGCTAAAGAAACAAAAAAATATATTGACAACGAGCAAGTGTTTTGTTCTTTCGTTGAGCAAGTGAGTGCAGCTGGCCGACAGCCAAGTGAAAAAATAAATAAATCATTTATGTATGTATTAAAGCCGATAGATACTGGATTAAAATAAGTGAGGGAGAAGAAAAGATTTTCTTCCTAAAACTTCGCAATAAACAATTTAGCTTGCATTTTCAATTGAAAATTTAAAGAAAAAAATGCAACGAAGCGCCGCCGGCACATATATGGCCATTATGGAGCAAAGCGCGGGGAGCAGCAGGCAGCAGAGGAAGCAGCCGCCAATTGTCGCCACAACGGCCCCGGCCACCACCGCCACACCAGCGATAACGGCAACGGCAACGGCAAAGCTAAAAATACGCACAAATGCTGCGTCATTGCTGTTGCGTGGCGGGATGCTGTTGTTGTTGCTGCTAATGGCTGGCGACACCGGCAGCGGCTTAACTGGATCACAGACGTTTGTTGCAGCGCTTAAGGGTAAGTTTTTGACAGAACCAAAAAAAAAAACACACACACACACTCAAAATAAAGCAAAGAAAGGAAAAACAGGAAAGACATTAGAAAAACACAGAAAACACAGCAAAAAATTTCGAAAAAAAATTTGTAGCCAGCAAAATCAAGCAACCAAAAATAAAAATGAAGCATTAGTTTTTAGCTGCTACTTGCAACATTGCCCAACCAAATGGCAGCCAAGCTTGTTGTGGCACGCACTTTACTTGCCTAAACATCAAATTTTTACAACGCATTTTCCGGTGCGGCTGCGGCTGCGGCCGTCTGTGGCTGAGGCAAATGACTAAAATTGTCGCTGAACGCGTGTACGCACATCACTCTGATGGAAGGTAGGCGTGGCTGTTGTTGCGATGTTGACGCGCTGCTATCTTCCGAAGATAGACAGATTTCATTTGAATGAGTTTTGCTTAATTTCTTTCTTCCTTTTACGTTTTCTTTCATTTTTTTTTGGAGCGCTATCAGCAGTCGTCGAGCGCACACAGTTGGCTGCACATTGGATCAGGCCTACAGCCAGACAAATGAATATTTAAATATCTATGTACAGTGGCGGCAGGTGTAATAGACTCGCCTTACTTTGAAGAGTTTTGGCTATATTTTCTTATTTTTTTATGTTTGATATTCTTCATAAAAGCCTGGCTAGTTATACAACAAACATCATATAAATTCACTTTTCAAACTTTGTATGATATTTATAAAAATTCGACAAATTTTCATCAAAATTTCAAAAAAATTTTCCAGAATTTTTAGAAAAATTTGGTTACAGAATACCGTTAGGTTTTACGATTTTTTTTTGCTGACGGTGTCACGCATTTTTTTCCCATACAAAATGTGCTCGACAATTTTTTTTATGGAAGAGAATGTTTAGTATCGTCTACAAAAAAAAATGTCAAAAATCAACGGAATTTTCCCATCACTTAAAAGTCGCACTTTATTGTACTAAAATTGAATGGGCTACAAAACTGCATACTAAAAATTTTTCTAAAACTTCTGAATAAAAGGTTTGAAATTTTGTTGAAAATTTATCGAATTTTTATACAAAGTTTGAAAAGTGAATTTATATGGTGTTTATTGTATAACTAGCCAGGCTTTTGTGAAAAATATTAAACATTAAATAAACTAAAGAAATACCTATAGCCAAAACTCTTCAAAGTACGGCGAGTCTATTATTTCTGCCGCCAGTGTATGTACCTTAATACATATCTATACTTTTTGTCACTGATATTTATAGCTATTTGATATATTTATTGCCGCACGTTTGTAGACGCAGGCGAGATTTATTATTTATGTACTTTTTGTTTGTTAGCACTCCGCCCTCCCCTTCAAAAACCGTCGATGTCAATGGCTCGTCATTTGCTAGCTTAACGGCAACTTTTCAGTTCTTCGCTGAGGAGCTGTGTTGTTTATCGCTGCTTTTGTTTTTTGTTACAATTATTGTATTTTTTTTTTTTGTTTGTTTATAGTAGTTGTTGTTGGTTGAAGCGCTTCGCTTTTGCCACCAGCGAATGCAGCACAATTAGTGTGGTTGAACTTTTGTTAAGCCCTCTCCTTTGATTAACTAAAATTTTGGAGTATAAAGTGTTGCTCCAAAAAGCTCACTGCTTAATTGTTGGTGCTTAACTTATTGTTTTTGTTGTTGTTTAGGTAGGTGGTATTAAGTCATCAGAAATCAGTGCAAGTAATATTTATTCTAGGCATACGCTTGTGCTTACCTTTATAGCCTGTGCTGTTGCTTATTTTGTTCTATTTGATACAATAGGGTGCACCACTATACATACCAAAAAAAAATTGGCACTTTTTTCCATCGGAATTATACTATTTGTTATATTTTAACCCTTCTGTCAAAGTATTTTGCAAAAATGCAATACCTACAAAATTCAAAAATTTTTTTTGACACAACTAGTTTTATTTTTTTTTTTCAAAAACTCGCCTCAGTTTAAACTCTTTTAACATCTGAGGTGATTTTTTGGGAAAAAATGTAAAAAAAACTTATTTTTCATATGTATAAAATTGGATTTTGGAGGTATTTTCAAATCGCTCCAGCTCACGCTAACTTAATATCTTTCCAAAATACATACTTAGCTTTTCGGAAGACTTAAAATATAATAAATTTTCTAATTCCGGTGAAAACGGTGTTCATTTTTTGAGAGGCACCCTAATGTGCATACATACGGTTAAATAAATCTATGCACTTTGGAGCATACTTCTTGGAAGTCTTTATACTTCAAACTATGCAATTTCATCTAGATATATACATTCATACATACTACATATTTATGTATGTATGTAAGTAAGTATATCTAAAAATGTATGCATTGACCTAGTTGCTCTCCTTTACATAGATTTCCTTTTATCATACCTCAGGGAGGTGTTAAGTCAAAATGTTAAGTGCCTTGTGTTCACCATGAATCGTTAGTGTAATATTTAGTTGAAAGTAAATTGTAACAACAAGCGTAACAACATTCTGTGGCAGCCCGAGCCAAAGACTCCAGGATTATTAAGCGAACTATAAAGTGCCACTTTAGATACAAATTTTTGAGGAGGCTACTTCAACTGCAGTGAAATGAGTTTAATCAGCCTGTATTAGACTTTTAGCTCTAGTTTTTTTGGAAGCAGCTTAATATATCAGAATCATTATTTTCAAACGAAAATGAAAAAGTTCGGTGCTTACGGCATTATATGTAGCTTTTTTTTTTACAAATTCATTGCAGAAAAAAAATATTCGATATCTCAGTTTCATCGATAATGGTACATGATATCAAGTTAGCACTACATACTATACGGTCAACTCGATTTTTTCCGCAAAAGCAAAAGCTACATTTTTTTTTCGCAAAAAATTTACAACATAAAAGTTACAATTAATGGTAAAGTCACATATTGGATATCTAAATTCTCTCGACTACTTAGGTGTATGCTGTCAAGTTAGCTTGATTGAATATTCGAATGGATATCCGAATACATGAGCTGCAACCTAATTATGAAAGTTTTCTCAAGATTCTCAACATTCATTTTTTTTTTTTTAGTGATGAAACAAATATTTTTACCCCGAACCACTTCTTCTGATTTGGAAAAAAATAAATAGTCAAAGGCGGCTAAGTCCCGAAAATATGTCTTTGCGGCTGCATACGTGTGCGCCGTACATTGTCTTGGTGGAAGAGCATGTCGCGGTGGCCCAGTTGGCGGACAGACTCGCCTTGGCTTTCTTTGGTGAGCTATCGCGACTCTTATCACCGCCTAGTATTTTTACTTAAAAGATTTCATGTAGCTGCTCAATTCAGATGTCTGCCGCCTCAGACACTGTCGTAGTTTTATTATGGGTCTCAGGCATAAAAAGTGCGCTTAAGCTCGATTTTCAGTACAAATTCTTGAACTTAAGCTCGCTTCACTGAAATTTAGTGAAATGGACATTTGCAAAGTCCAAGCGAAATCTTTTAACTAATATCGAACGCTCCTCGTAGGGGGTTTGCTTTGCTTTAAACATGCAGAATGGTGTATGTATTAAAAGTCTAGCAAAATACTTGAAGAAAATCGTTATAAGAAGTTTTTTGTGTCTACTGTAAAATTAAAAGAAAAAATGGACTTAGCAACTTTTCACTCTAAGCTAGCGATATGTACATATGTACATACACAGCTAGATATGTATTTTATCAAATTATTTTTACCATAATGTGTGTTTATCTAGAAAAGGTACTTGCTTTGTTGTGCCTTTTGCATTGGAAATTTTGCCTATAATCCGACTTAAAATTTTATATTTATCATTGAGACGAAAAATTAGGCATACTAAGTTTTACTATATTCATGTTTTTAGATATCTCCTTGAGATTTTCACAAAGACCATCCAGTGTTAAAAAATTGTTTGTTGAGTTAAATTATTGTTAAGAAATGTTAATAAAAACCGACTAAAGTTACAAAAAAATGTGTTATTTTCCAATCTCGGAGTCTGGCTACCCTAACTACTTAAAAATAAAAAAATAAATGTTTAAAAAAATATATCTTTTTTAAACAAAATCTTACAAAGAAAATTCAATTAAAAAAAGACAAAAAAATAAAATTAAAAAAAATTAAATATGATCCTAAAACTTAAATGAAATATAAATAAAAATAAAAATTACACTAACAAAAGAAAAACAAATTTAGGAAGAAAGGAATGAAATAAAGTTCTGAAAAACTAAATTAATTAAAAAATATTTTTAAACAGTATCTAAAATCTAAAAATTAAAAGAAAATTAAACTAAAAAAAATAATTGAAAAGAGGACAAAATAAAATAAGTCACTCAAATGTAAATAAAATCAAACAAATATACAAAAACAAAATACAAAAGAAAAACCAAATAAACGAAAAAAGAATAGAGAAATTAAATAATATTCTAAAAAATTTAATGAAATTAAAAGAAACATTTTTTTTTCTTTTTTAAACAATAAAATTTAAAAATTAGAAGAAACAAAGTAATTAAAAGAATGAAGGAGTATGTTCCAAAAATTAAATGAAATAGAAAAAATGTATTTTACTTTTAAAACAATAAAGTGTAAAAATTAAAAAAAGATGTAAATTAAAAAAAGAAAGTTCCGCTGCCCGAGCACTCGACGTCGGATCTCTCGGTCTATTTTGTTATCTACATATATTTCATTCGTCTTACGAAAGACTTTTAACTATCTTAGCCAAAATTTCCCTGATACTTTAGTCGTAAGTGTACTTACAGGCTTATGTACGTTCGTTAAGCTAAACTCACTAATTATATTTAAATTTTTCCGAACATTTCGAATGACGTACAAAAATTCCCAGCACTTTTCAGCAACCATTAAAAGATTGGAACAAAAATAAACATTTTAATTTACTGCATCTCCTGCACATACGTAATTCCGTTCAGAACTCAAACCTTTATGAGATACTACAATACACTTTGAAGCCTAAAAAATTACGATCCATAGGAATGCAGCAGATACTTAATACCTCAAATCATCCGTTGAAA